AATGCCAGTGGAGGACTCCGTTGGAGGTTGAGGACAGAAAGAGTCCATGGGAACGAGGAGAGAGGCACATGGGAACGTAGGTGGATAGATGGACGGGAGAGATGTGCCGGAGGAGGAGTGACAGAGCAGATGGGAGGGCAGGGATGTGCAGAAGGCAGAGCAGACTGGAGGCCGGGTGATGGGTGCAGAGGAGGCAATGGTCAGAGTGAGGCCTGCAAAGTTTCTCCAAGTAGTTGAGTTTGTAGTTTCCAGTTTCATGTGTCCTACAACCACGCTTAGGCTCTGTTGGTTTTGTTGCAGTAGTTGGTCTAGCCACTTTTTTAAAAATAATTTTGCTACATTTCTATTCCCCCTCCCCATTACTGTCATGATGTCAGTATTGCCATTTTTCCCTATTTTCTCTCCATTTTCTCTGATGACAGTTCTAGTGTTATTCTTTATCTTGTATTCTCCAACATGAGGGGGAATAAAATTTCAGTTTTTCTCATATATATGATATTCTCTCAATATCATACTTAAAATATACATGTTTATGTTTGGTATGTTAGAGGGTGTTATTTTTCCTTTCTGAAAATCTGTATCTTAAAAGCATCAGTGCATTAGTACTCCCTTGTATGTGAATATTGAAATATTGAATGTCTACACCTACTACAGTTTCACATGTCACAAAGCTAGGTTTCTTTCCAAGGGATGTTCGATTTTAATTGCAATTGCAGATTGTTGAGTGGTTTGGGTTTTTTTGCCCTTTCCCCCACCCCTATGTCAGCTACATCCTAGGTAGGCTTAGGCTTCTTGCAGCTCCTGGTACTTGCCAGCCTGCAGAAGTGAACATTGCAGCTGCAGCATGCTTCCAGGGTGCTTTGCTCTTGGAGACTTGGGCTTTTGAGCAGGTAATGGAGAGAAATGGATCCTGCCCTGAGCTGATCTCAATCTCAAGAAAGAGAACTAAATGGAAGACAAGGAAGCATCACCAGGCCTTTATCTGATTTTCTGTGTAAATAAGTGTGAAAAAAAAAAAAAGTTCATTCTTCTGTGGATGAGCTGAGAAATCTGAAGACTAAAAGCAGCTCTGTAGCACTAAGAACAATATGCTTATTGCTCTATATTTAAAATAATATATACTACTCTTTAGAACAATTCTAAAAAGCAAGATTGTAATTAATAAATACGCATTCTTAGTCCTAAGGACCCAATTCTTTGGAATTCAAAGAGGAGTTCAAAAGGTGGAAAAGTATTCAGGCCAAAATTCTGACCTCGTGAATCAGGGTTATAAACACATGTGTGAGTCAATTAAACTTGCAGTTATTCGTGGCAGGTTTATCTGGGTTGTGGATTGGCTGCACTGGGAATGTAGCAGCAGCAGAACTGAGTCTTTGTGGAGCTGACTATGGTTTGTCAGGGCTCCTGAGCTGCAGCATGGGGGGAACATGGGTGTGCTGTGTCCAGGGCCAGGGTGCAGGAACAGTTTAACTCTACTGGCACAGAGCCCAACCTAATAAACACTTTGAACCCAAGCTGGCTCTGCACAGACCCGTCTTAGGAGTCTTTGGTGGCATGTTTGCTCTACCAGAAGTGCTTACACACGATATGCAGAGAAGCAAGTGGCTCCACAAAGGGCCAGAGGGATTACTGACTTGCGCAGAGTTCCCCTTTGTTGAGCTCCAACCAGGCCCTGCGGAATCCGTCAGGTATCTAGGCCCTGCATTCTGTCAGAGGAAGGATCTGTCACCTCAGGGCTGGTCCCATGTGAACACGGGCTTGGGTTTGATGTGGCACTAATGCCAGAATGCCTGGAGGCTGTGTTGGAGAGCAGAGAGATGTGTGGAGCCAGCCTGGGTCCAGCAGGGCTAAGACGGAGCATAAGCTACAAAGCCTCTCACTGCCTGAACTGTGTATGTATGGAGTACGCTCCCCAGAGTGCCCCACAGCATTTGTGTTAGCTGTTTCCCTTTATGTTATCCAGCCTGGCCAATGAACACCTCATTACCCCAAGTAATGGTGATGTGACCATATGGATGTGCCTGAAACTGGTACATGAGGTACCTGGAGAGGGATATGGTTTGCAGTCAGTTTAAGGAATAGCACGGCCATCTCTGATTCTTTCTAGTTCTTCAGAAAATTGTAGTACAAAGGCTCTGCAAATGGCCATTGCATTCTCCAGGATACTTTCTGTTTGGTTTACCAAACTAATTAAATCTCAAATTTAAATCTCTAAATTAATCTCTAATTAAAACAATGACCAACTGTTTAGTGGTTTCTTATAAGTTTACTTTTAACTTGTGGTGAATTTCTTTACTTCATTTGAAGATGGGTTTTTTTTTCACTTGCATTTAAAGTAACTCTCTGTTTTGAGTTAGCTCTCAGAAGATTTCACACAAAAATAGTTTGAGGCCTGCATGCATACTTCTTCCCACTTCCATACACATTTCCCCATTAACTCCACGTCTGCTATTGCAAAACAGTTTCAGTGCTAAGAAGCCAAAAAACAGCAGAAAGCAGTTAGCTGACTTGAGAGATCCCTCGGTGCTAGGTTTCCTGGGCTGTAGTATGTGTGTGTATGTTTTATCTGGCATGTGTGCTGCTTTGAAGAAGCCCAGGGCATGAACACTCCAATGGCAACCCCCAGGGCCACCGCTGCAGTTGTAGCTGTTCGTGTCACTGCTGATGCACACAGTAAAAGGAAGAAAATAGCACTGGCACAGCACACTTCTCATGTCATTTAAATGTAGTTTAAATCCAATTCTGCTGGAACTGAGCCACATTCTTACTTATAGGTATATTTTTAACAGGAGTTCTGATCCTGTGAGGTCATTACCATTAGCTTCCACACCAGTCCCTGGGACCACAGCTGCATGTGTAAACAAAGCCATGTCAACAGGGAGAGATGGATTTGGCTGTGGAACTTGGCAAGCCTTTTGTTTGTTTGTATTTTATCTGACAGTGATCAGTTAAAATGTTGGTTTTGTCGTGCAAACGTAATGTCTGATAACTGTCAGCAGCATCAGTGATTGCATCTGAACAGGGACAATTAATTATTAGAAATGAAGACCAGTTGTTCTGCACCCAACTCCAAAATAAAAGGAATAATGTTTATAATAAAGCAGGAAAGTCTTATTTAAATTTTTTTTGAACAATTGCATTTTTAGTAACTTATTCTTAAAAATCAAATGAAATACATCAAGCACATGAAAAAAATACAGTCTGTATTTCAGTCAGAAATAGACTTCTGTTGGCTTCTAGTAGGAACTGCGCATCATGCAGGGAAAAATACTTTTTTCTTCCTCTGACAATGGTCCAGTTAGTATTGCTGTTTATGCTTTTCCAGGTAAGGTATTGTCATATAGTTACATGTCTCTGTTTTAACAATTTATAACTTTGAAGAGGAAACTGAAAAGAGGATCATTGTACTATTTGAAGCAAAGACATAATTGAGGGAGAGGAAGCTCAAACTGGTCAAAGCTGGCTTACAAAACCAATATGACCTTAACCTGAGAAGTGCAGGTTTCAGTTAATTGCAAGGAAAAGCTTCCAAGCAGTAAGAGGAATTTGTGGAAAGAACAGCTTCAGTTCATTGCTTAGACTCTGGTAATGTAAATGGATGCACACAAAAAGTGGATAAATCTGAAAATCAACACCTCTTAACACTGGAATTTGCTTCCTTGCTTTACTCTGTGTGGCAATTGACCTGTTCTGGGGTTGTGCAGTGGCAGAGGATCATCCTGAGTCTGTCTTGTAGAAGTGGAAAATGTATAGGCATACCTCAGCATTGTATTCCAGCAGATGGTGCCTAACAGAGTGACTCTGTCTTGTAACATTAGTCGTGTCTCTTACATTGCATTTCGGGATGCCCGACATCGTGCTGCACAGCTGATTTACGGGAAATGAGAAACAGAATTAGTCACCAGTCTTCATCCGTGTATGTTCAGGCCATTCCAGATGTTCAGCTGTCCAGTCAGCAGTACTGTGGAACTGCTGTGACCTGAGAGCACATGTCCAACAATCTCAGGGAGTTGTGGAATGTTCTTGCTTTGCCTGGGTAAAATTTTGATCAGAGAAAGACACATGTCCAGAAAAATCCAGGTATAGTATAGCCCTATCAGTGAGGAATTAACATCTGATTTGGAGAAAAGTCTGATTAGCAGACATTAAATAAAGCTTGATGAGACTATTGAAACAATGAGAGTAAAGCAAAAAAGAGTAACACCTCATTATATGAGTCATCTATCCTGTTCAAGAGTTGAATGCCTGTGGAGAAAATGGGATGCAGTTGTGTTACTGATTGTGTCAAAACACATGCATAAAAAAGACATGTAAAGATAGCAGAGATGCCTTCTGTTTTGGCACTTGCAGAGCAATGTTTGGGATCAAACAATAGGATGAACCCTGCTACAGACCCCCTCTATTGGAGAGGGCATTTGCTGCCTTTGGTACCTCTGTGGTGAGGTAGAGCTGAGGAACATGGGCTGAAGTGGGTCAGTCGTCCTGTATTCATTCTCACTGGTGTTGCAGACAAGTTTGCTAAGCAAGCTGTCCCCCTTTGCCTATCCTTCACACAGTCACTGTATCTGCCTCTGGAAATACTCGTGTGTGTATAATGCTTTACTGTTAAAATAGAGACTGTCTCTTGGATCTTACTCAATTGTGCATTGCTTTAGTTCTGGAGAAAAATTCTTTTCTGACCCCAGATAGGGATCAGCTCAGCTTATGCTCCAAAGAATAGAGATTAATATCCCCTGTGACCTTTTAGCCTGGCTGCTGCAAGGTTTTAACGAGTGGGCTTAAGACCCCATGTGTGGCAGCTATGCCAACATGAATGTCTGTAATGTCTCTTCTTGTCAATGATCCGTGAACTAAGGAATCTCCAAGGATATCTTGACGTGCAGTGGAGCTGTTACGGTCTAGTGCAGGAAAGAAGCACGCAATGATAGAATGAAAAGCTGGTGTCACAAGTAATGTGTAAGCTGTTGTAAATGTACTTGACAACAGTTGTCCCTGGCTGCATATTTACTTAAAAAATGTGGCTATGATATGGTAGGAAAACCAAATATTGAAACAAAACCTCAAGTAACAAACAATGAAATGCACTATTTAGGATTTCTGTATTTCTGGTTCCTTGGATGTTTCTGGTGTTGTATGAACTCTATAATATAATGTAGAACAGATAATAAAAAATGAGTACATGACATGAAAAAGCCCCCACCTACCTCTAGCTACTTCTTCCTCCCCACCCCTGACGCGTAGGATGTCCAGAAAACAACTCATAAGGGAATTCCTTCCTAAAACTAATTTTTTCCTTAATTTTGGACATATTTGTTTTGATTTGCTTCGGTTATTCTGAAGTCATGTTACCATCACTGGTGTGGATAAGAGGTTTGTATTTTGTTTAAACCATTCTTAGCTATTACTTTAAAATAGCCATACTTTTTTTCAGTAGAATCTCAGAGAACTGCCCAGGATCCCAGAGAAGCACTGATTTAGGACTGAGGTCTACAGCTGCTGTTTCAAACATGGCTCAGGTATATGGGTGATGTTATATTCACCTTCTCAAGCTAAATGGCCTGCTTTTGTGTCTAGGGTAGGTGATAAGTAAAAACTGAAGTGCCTGAATCTAAGAGAAAGATCCTGAGGCTTTTGCCAGCCTAGCTCTGGAGATATTGACCACTCAGTAGGTACATAGGTGTAAGTCCACCAGACTCCCTGTGTACTCCCAAGTTTCAGTGCCTGTTGATGTTTCTAAGCTCACCAGTGTGACACTGGGCATCAAGCTCTTGCTTAAGCTTCAGTGTCAGCAGCATGAAGATAGAAGCCCCCAAACTCTTGGTAGCTGGAGGAAATGGGACAGTTTCATTTGGTTTGCTCCTGCAGTTTTAAGACCATGTAAATTTTTCTGCCTCCTGCTTCCCAGCTCCCTTGTGAAACCACTCTCCTGAAGTGGGCATGTGTTTGCGTGGCTCCTATGCCTTGCCTCCTGCCCATGGATTGGCCCAGCTTCCATCAGATACAGAGACAAGGAGGTTGTGTTCTCTGCTGAGCAGGGGACTCTTCTGGAATCAAGGCGACTTCGATGCGAGTGTCACCCTTCTTAAGGCAAAAGGAAGTTAAACACGCCCATAGGGTGGAAACTAGCTGTACCAAAGAGACACAAGAGGTTGTAAAGTAAGTATGTTCTGTTTAGTGGAATGCTAGGAATTGAATGCAGCCTTTCCTTAGAAATTATTTATTCTCTCTTTTTCACTACATGTGGGGAAAACCTCCAGAGATTTTAGGGCTGTTTTCCTTATGGTGACAGGCTGGTTGTGTAGGACTTGGATGTGTTTGAAGACAGGTCAGTGGATTCTGCCCCAGGTGATGTTTTGTTCATTTATAAGTTGACTCATCAAATCTGAATGGGTTATAATCTATATTCAGTTCCTATCTTTTTATCCATTTCCATTGCAATGCGAGTGACATCAGTTTTTTTCCTATTAGTTATCATCTTCTGTATTTAAAATTAAATGGTCTTAATTGCCTCAGAGCTAGAGCTCTCTAATGATGTATCCTGCCTATATCAGGATATATCAGCACTGACAAAAGAAACTTAGAGTTGTTGCCCTTTCCACCTTAGGCTTTCTCCTGCCCACAAGTTTTTAACAGACAATGGGAATGATGTGCAAGCTGAAATGTGCAGCACCGCACAAGGACAAATAAGCCCCAGTATGTCCTGCTGTGCTGCGTGGAGTGTCAACTGTGGGGTAGCAGCGTGTTTTTGCCATCAAAATCTTCAGCCATGTGGAACCTGTGTGAGCTGTGGGTTTAAGTGAGGGTGACAGGCTTCCGTGGCTTACTTGCAGGGAGCAGGAGTGACGAGGTGGTGGAGCAGACCTGATGTGCAGCTGCAGGCAGCAGTGAGGATCATCAGTTTGGCACTGCTGGGAGGTGGGGCGTGTGTTTGCTAGAGGCAGCATTCAGGGAGGGCAGAATGAAAGTCATGGGGATATCTGTTTAAATTGTCATAGGTTTGAATTCTGCTAGGCACAAGGGAATACAAAGGCATAAGACACATCCTCCTTAGTCCATCTTGATCTCATCTTGTTAGTTTATAAACTCTACTAACAATTTTATAACCCACCAGGATGTAAAAGATTGTTTCTCCCTGTTCTGGCTTCTGTCTGCTACCACCTGTTCCTTCTGTGTGTACCCCCCGCACCACAGGCTGTCTTCAGCTGTGCAGCCTGAACTGTGTGCTAGGCCAGACCCTATCTGATTGTATCCTACATTCCCTGTTTCTTCACCTCCTTGGTCTTGCCAAACCTTTGATGCAGCTGATGGACAACCCTCCTGAGCTGGCCTCCTCCCTCTTGATTAATGCAACTCTGCATTGCATAGCTATGAATTGCAATTTTTTATTTTTGATTTCCAGAGGTTTATATCTGGGTCAATGTCAGGGACCCCACCTGTCCTGAGTCAGAGACCAAGGGAAAAGAACTGATGCTCTTTTTGTGTGGTAAGGACCTAGAATTTTGGTCACATGAGATTCAGATAAAAGGGCGGGCAGTGCTTTGATCTTCAGCCTTAAATACAAACCTAGCTGTACAACACAGCTTACTTCTGAATGTGTGGGTTGTTGCTTTTTTGTGCATTATACTACTTTCTTGAATGGTTACTGGGAGAAGCTGGGCTGTAGGTTTGCCTTAAAGTCATACTGCAATTTACTACTTGTATAAAAAAGTTAGTAGAATCTGTAAATCTTAAACTGTTTTGAGGACTAGGGAAGGCGTAGTTTGGGAATCACTGTTCTAAGGAATTGTAGATTTGGATTGCTAACTGTGCCATAAATCCCAAAGTGACGTGTTAAATTTAATGAAAAAATTCAAGTCGGGATGTGGATGTTAGAGTACTTTGAAGGAATATTTGAACAGAGTGAGGCTCTCAGCTTTGTCTGTAGTAGAGCAGTCATTCAACCATATCATAATCTTATTAGGATGAGGGCTCTTGAAAGTGCTAAGCACAGACTTCCCTGATGCTGGTTGGCATATTTAGGCACATATGTTATACACCAGTATAAAAGCAATTTAATGCCTCGTGTGATTTGTGATTCGTGGGTTGATGGCTACCAGTATATTGTAGTGATCTGCAGATTGAAGTTTGGTTTGTTGGGTTCAGTGTGGGCAGGGCATTTAATTTTTTTGAACTAATTTAACAGAATTGGGGCCAAAGGCATTAAAGAAGTTGTGTTTTTTATCACCATAAAAGAGCTATGATTCATGATTTAAATCCATAGACTAGTAAAGAGAAACTCCAGAGTTAAATGGTTGTAGAAGAGTGGGACTGGATGTGAATGGGGGGCAGAAAGACACAATTCAGCTATGAGAATAAAAGCAAAACTAAATTGTCACGGTCTGAATTATTCTACAGCACATAAAATTCATTTTTCTGACGATTATGTTCTCTTTTAGATTTCTGAGTGAAGATGAACCTGGCGGAGATTTGTGATAATGCCAAAAAAGGAAGAGAATATGCACTCCTTGGGAATTATGACTCTTCTATGGTATATTACCAGGGTGTCATCCAGCAAATCCAAAGACATTGCCAGTCAATCAGAGATCCAGCAATTAAGGGCAAATGGCAACAGGTAGGGTGAAATAAGGTTGCCTTTATTCTATTACTTGATATTTGAAAAGCCCACTATACTTCCCAAACCTTTTAAGATGTAGAGGACTTATATTTCAGTGAAGTTTGCAACATTTTTTTTTCATATATTTTGTCTATATGTATGGGAAAATAATTTTTGTAGCATGTTCAAAAGGAACTCTGTTGTTCTAATTGAATAAATTTTTTTGTTGTTTTAACTTAGGACATCTGTCTGATTCCCAGTCTGTTTGTGTGTGCATACTGTCTGTGACTGCCTACTTTGGAAAAACTGAGGACTTCCTTTTACCATTTTATCTTTTGGCCATCTAATGTCCACTAAACTAAGATGTGAGTGGGTTGGTTAGCATCGCTAGAATGGTTGTCTGAATAGCAGTTTACTATAAGGCTACAGTGCACAAATTTGGATAAGGTTTCTAAAACTTCAACTAATACTCTTAGCCTGAGTCTTGCACACATCCATCTCCCCGCTAAACAGAGTACCATTGAAGCCAAGGAAGTAATCCATAGGTGAAATGTAAGAACCCCAAGCACCCCCATTTAACACTTTTGGTGTTTTATGTATGTCTTACATTTTTGGTCTCATTTTTCATGGTAGAAAATGTGTTCCATAAAAAAAAAAAAGGAGGAAAACCATATAAAGTGTTTTCCAGAATAAAGAATTCATGTGGCATAAATACTATGTTTTGAAAGAATGACATAGCTCCCATAAGGGATAAAATTTTTCAGTGGTAGCTGAAGACATGGTTTCAAGAAGAGTTTTTCTAAATATATGTTTAAGTGATATCACTTAAAAACAAGCAAATTTTCCTTTTTATTGCAGCAGGTGATTTGGTCATGGGTTTGTGCTTGAAACATCTGACACTAATGTAGAGTATTTTGTGTACTGTTAGCAACAACACTGTTAGCAATCACATTGTAATAACAGTACTGTTCATTGGTGTTTATCATAGAACTGTAGAAGTCTGTTTATTAGCAGCTTGTCTGCAAAGCATGTGCATGCACAAGCATCAGCAGTAGTACCTACCTTTCCTGGTGATGTAGTAAGCTGAATGTTGTACAGGAGATACTCACGTTCAAGTACTTGTATTCAAGCTCTTCCCCACCCCTGTACATGCTGATACAAGGTGTTCATGCCCAGTGCATGTCCTTAGTTCCTACCAAACTTGTAGCTGACGTGAAGGTAAACCGTGAGGCTTTCCTCATTCTGCAGCTCCATCACTTCCTTGTCTTCACATCTAGTATTTACTGTTTCCTCTGATCAAATTCGTTCTTCCACTAAACATTTAACAGCTCTTACCTTGTGAAGGTCACTTCAAATCTTCTGCTATTGTGTGTTGTTTGAACTGCTTCAGAGAAGCCTATGCACCATGGAATTCGTGCTGCACTTTGGAGACAAGCCTCACATACAAAAGAACCATTAACACAGTTTCCGGGATTATTCCCTGGGGAAGGCAACCGGCTCTCTAGCAGAGGATCTGAAGTTGGCACCTTCTCAGAAATTATCCCTTTTAGGTAAAAGAAGAATGGCCCCTGACCATGTCCCATAAATGCTTTAGAGAAGTGTCTCCAGAAAGATCAGCAGCAGGTAGGGTAGCATCTGTTACACTGTGCGCTCATGTGAATTCTGAAACTTCCCAACACAGAGGTGGCAGATGAGCTTTGTCAGAATATTGCTTTGCCATTACTGATGCCAGTCTTGGCTCAAGGACAAACACCAAAAAGCAAGAAGTGTGATTGAAAAAAAAAGAAGGGCTTCATCCCTTGGCTGTTTGCCTTCTCATTCATTTATAGGAACAAAATGATACAGCCCTGAGAGCAAACGATGCAGCCCTGGAACCACTTCTCCATACCTGCACCTGAATGGTTTGGTGACACCTATAGAGGCAGACCTACTTTCTTACACACTCTTCATAAATAATTGTTGTGCTTTCTCACTCCTTGAGACAGATTAAGAGGGAGTCTGATGATGTGGATGTTAGTGCTACTTTCCAGCTCCAACAGCACCTACATCCAAATGGTCAGTCACATTCAGTATCTGTCTTGACAGACAACCTGTTCTGAAAAAAATTTAACCCAAAAGTTGGATCACAAGAAGCATTCATTCACAATATTAAAATATTATTTTTAGATCATTCTCCTTAAAGAGTTACGCCATACACATTATGTAAGTTTAGCAAAATTCAGGTCTAACCCACTTGTGCAGAAGCAAAAGATTCCCATACCTGTGTGCTGTGTGCAAGTGGCTGGAGAAGCAAAGCAACTCTTAGGTCATGGTTAAGGGGATTAACGCAGTTGATTTTTACCTGAAATTCTGTCTCCTCTAGCATATGAAGCCAGCTTATTCCTTAGGTTCTTCAGTTTCTCCATCACCTGAGGAATCCAAAGAGGATTATACAAATGGCATTGGTACCTTTTGAAGGTGGCATTTAGCAATCACTAGCAGACACTGTGTGGGTAGAGCTTTTACTGTTGGGAGTGGTCCACAGCATGAATGTCCATGTAGATAAGTGCTTGAAGGCAAAGATTCTTACTTACAGCAGTTATTCTGTGGGATGTACTCTCTGCACAGGCATTCACAATCTTGAACCTTCTGAAGGATTCCTGGGACACCAACTGACAGTGTGAAGCGTGCCCTTCCTTTCTGTATGTTTGTATGCAGCACACTAACAGGGTGTTTGTCCTACTGCTACTTCTGAGGCAGAGAACTCAGTTTCAGATGTTTGCGTACATTTTCCCTCATAAAACAGAAATGTTCATATGAGGAACATCTCAAAGTACGAGCTGTGACTCTGCAACTTACCAGCTCACACCTCTTACATGCACCATTGTTCTTCCTATTTGGTCTCTTCTCTACAGTGGGTGCTCCATCCTGAGTAGGTATCTCATGCCTAGTGGATCTGTTTTGTTGCCTTGTGCACAGAGGATTTTTCCAGCAGTTTGTTGAGCAGTGCAGAAGCAGAGGTGAACCAGAAGTAGTTGGGATTTTGAGTCAGATACCTTAATGGATCTACCTCTCTTTGCTTAGGTGTCATCGTTTTCAAATTTCAACAGGTTGGTCTGGACAGAATGATATTCTGTACAAATATTTGGTGGGTTGTATTTCATGTTGCACAATCAGACAGCTTCAACTTTGCAACCGGGCACCTTGATTACAAGGATTCCTTTTGCTTGGTGCTGATAGTTAGGATGAAGAGAAATATGAACATGTTAACATCTGCTCCCCTGGGAACAACTGACTGACTCAGTTAGACTTGATGCAATACTGCCTCTGGGAATTCAAAATTAGTACTGACCATGGGAGAGGGATTTTGTTATTAGTCTGGCACAACCTGCAGAACTTCAATAGGGCAAAAGATGCATGCTTTGGAGGGTCCACCAAAGCAGATATGTGACAGCATAAGAATTCCCCTGATCCCTTGGAAAATTCACTGCTATTGATCATCTGTTGCCTAGCTTGTCTTGGGGATATCAAGGGTGACCTGCTCTTAAACCCTTACTTGTTTTGCATCCAGGGAGTTCCCAGCTTGTTCTTGGGTGGGCTGAGTGTAGCTCCACTCTTATCCTCACTCCTAGGCCTCCTGAGCTCATTTGAAAAAGAAAAAGTCACTTTGATGTGCTTTGAGGTTTGGCTGACAGGTTGGCATATTCATCCATGTAAATGCAGACTGGGACTGGAAAGATTTAAAACCAGAAGCAACTCATTCTTACCAACACCAAAAGGTAGGTTTACTCTCATGACCGCTACTGTGAACTTTACTTGTGTTGACATTCTCCCTGTTTATTCTGAGAGTTTCTTGGCTGTTGAAGTCTTTTTACTAGACAGCTGGCTTGTAGGAAAGAGCTGCTTCAGTGACAGTTCAGCAGCTGCAGAATGACAGCAGAGCATGCCCCCGGGAGATAGTACTGGCTTACAACAAGGCCAGCGGCTGTCGAGCAAAACCTGCTGTGTGTTATAACCATGTGCTCTGTGTTGCACAATAGCTGAGAGCACAGGAGCAGCAGCCAGAGCTGAGGCAGTTCAACGATTTTCTGAACACTCGGAGCAGCCAGCAAAGCACCCTTATTGACAGTGGTCACTGGTGCAGGTGATTAGGTGCACTGTACTCTTGCTTCAAGAATAAAGGATGATTTTTACTTTTTATTATTTTAAGCACATTTCAGTCAATCTATGCTTATGTTGTTTTTGCTTCATGACTGTTTTGTTAACATTTAGTAGGTTATTTCATGATTAATTAAGGAATATTCTGCAGGTAACTAATGAATATTTGTGATTATAGGAGCTATACCTTCACTCCATGGAATCAGACTGCATTACAGGGCATTCATTTTGGATATGGTTTAGGGAATTGTTATTTTCACTTTTTGAAAAACAGAGCTTGAACAACTAACACTAATTGCAGGTGGTAACTTCAGATTTGGAAAATATTTCTGTAGAAACTTGATTGGTTTTGTTTCAGCATAATAGAATTAAAAAAAAAATCCCACACATTATTTGTATTTACCAAGATACAGATACCCATGCTCATTGCTATGAGAAGTTGTGTAGAAGTACAAGCTCTAGCATAGCAAGTAAGAGCTGGTGATGTCAAAGTTATAACAGCTGCTAGATGGTGAAATACAGGGGTTCTCCCTGAAATGGGTTTTGGAACTACAACTAAGAAAGGATGAACTCAATGCTTGGTCATTGTTTTTATATCCATATATTAGCATGAGTTTTCTGCTTGGTTACTGTAAATCCTTGTGGCTGGAATGTCAAAACAAAGCTGTGGGGCCATCGTCTGAGCTGAAAGACTTTTTGTTGGGCTTTCCAACATCGTGCAGTGCCCACAATGCTGCTTCAGTGGAGGAGGTGATGTGGCTGGTAGGGGCGGCTGGTGTACCAGAGCATGACTGTGGAGAGCAGACAGTTTCATGTGGTAGCTGAACCTGGCTAACATCCTGCCATGCCCAGAGAGGCCAAGCTCTTCTCCACCTCATCTTCTCTCCAGTCAGCACCAGCTTCTCTCCCTCCTCTTCCTCCTGCCATTTTTTTTTCCCTGGAATTCACCTGATCACAGGATAGTGTGATAGTGTGCAAGTGCAGCTTGCTAACCCAGCAGAAGTGTCCTGTATTTTCTTTCACCCTCCTAGGCCAGCTTCTTGCTATTTTACCAAGCTGTCTTACTGTACTGAGATGCCAGAATTGGATCCAGGAGAGCAGCTTCTGTGGTTTTGCAGAGTGTGGCTGGGGAGAAGAAGTGAATTGAGTTCTTCCTGTTTGGCGGTGGTGAGCTGCTAAGTTGGCCCACACTATGTCCTGAAACTGCTTAAACATAAATAACCTGAAAACTTTCTTCAGGCTCTATACAACCTGTGCTGGAGCCCTCTGAGGGTTCTGGCACCCAAGGGTGTGTGTGATGGAGGGCAAAGAGACTAGGTAAGTCCAGACAAATGATCTTCCTGATTGCAGCCTTCCTAGGTTTCTTCAGAGTAGCGCTGATCACTCAAAGACTCTGCTCAGTCTACTTCATAATACAGCACAGCCTTTCTTGGCTCATGTCTGGGTTGTTTCTCAACTACAAGAAAGTCATTCTGCACCTATTTCATTTGACTCGGTTTCTTTAAGGAGTTTATCACTGGTTTTGCTTTGTGGTCCAGTTGTTTAAGCACATTGATGTTTCTTTATTGGTTGGTTTGCCAGGTACTGACTAAGCAAAAGAGTGGTTATTTTGGAGTTTGATCTGCTCAGGTCTGACTAAGAGATGGATAGCAGATGTTAGTTCATTTTTGTCTTCCAAGGCATCAAAGAGTCACTTTCCCTCAGTTTTCAGATACCATCCTCCTTGCTGGTCCAGCGAGCTGCATGACAGCACTCTGGCCATCAACGCTAAAAAGTTGTTTTCCACCAAATTTTCTGCATGTGTTGGAAGGCTGATAGAAGGAATCCTGTCAGTACTCCTAGAGTAGGAAGTGGCTGTCCCTTGTGGAGCAGTGCCCTGGAGGATTTATGCTGTATCATTCCTTTGTACCTCACAGCAGCTGTTTGGCTGGATTTATTTTTGGATGGGGGGGATTGCGTGTTAGACAGTTTGAAGGAACTGAGTTAGTAATCAATCACATTTGTAACTCAGCTGGAAGCTCTCACACTGGGGAATGTGTCTGCTGATTGTGTGATGAGAAAGCAAAGAGAGCAAAGCAGGGTAGGAGCAATCCTGCCTGAGCTGGATATCTCATGGCTTTGAAAAGATAGTTACCCCATCTGGAATGAGCAAGAAGGCTGCTTTGCCCTGAAAAGTGATCAAGTTCTTCCTGTACCTAAGGCTCCTTTTGTACAGATGCACGTAGAGCTTCTGATAAAGTAAATGCAGTGTTGCAAGAACTGTGCAGGGCCGTGGGGATTTACCCTTCTCTTTGCCTCTGTCAATACTAGTATCTTGCTGATGGCAGTCACATATAGAATCATAGAAACTCTCCAGTTGGAAGGAACTCATAAAGATCATCGAGCCAACTCCCTGCTTCTCACAGGACTATCTAAAACTAAGCAACATGACTAAGAGCACTGTCTAGACACCCCTTGAACTCTGGCAGACTTGGTTCCATGACTACTTTCCTGGGGAGCCTCTTCCAGTGAATGACCATCCTCTCAGTGAAGAACCTTTTCCTAATGTCCAATCTGAACTTCCTTTGAAGCAGTTTCATTCCATCTCCTCGTGTTCTATCTCTGGCCCCCAGAGAGAGGAGATCAGCAGCTCCCTCTCTGCTGCCCCCCTTGAGGAAGCTGTATACTGCTGTGAGGTCACTCACAGCCTTCTCCAAGCTGAGCAAGCCAAGTGACCTCAGTTGCTCCTCCTAAGTCTTGCCCTTGAGACCTTTCACCATCTTAGTTGCTCTCCTCTGGACACACTCTGATAGTCTGATGTCCTTATGTTGTGGTGCTCAAAACTGCACACAATATTCAAGGTGAGGCTGCATCAGAGCAGAGCAGAGTGGGACAATCCCCTCCCTCGACTGGCTGGCAATGCTTTGCCTGAAGCCCCCCAGGACACAGTTGACCCTCCTGGCTGCCAGGGCACTGCTGACTCATTATTCAAGTTGCCATCTACCCAAACCCCAATATCTCTTTCCGTGAAGCTGCTCTCCAGCCTCTCATCCCCCAGTTTGTACTGGTTGATCCTGTCCCACGTGAAGGATTCTGCACTTGTAGGGGAACCTGCATTGTTGCCCTCTAGTCAATACAGACCTTTCTTTAAGGCCTCTCTACCCTTAAAGGTGTCCACAGCTCCTCCAACTTAGTGCCATCAGCAAACTTACTTAATGTACATTCAATTTCTATGTTTTATAAAAACATTGAAGAGATCTGACCCTAAGATTAAGCCCTGGAGAACCTCACAGGTGACTGGCCACCAGCCTGATGCGATCACATTTACTACAACCCTTTGAGCTCAACCTATCGGCCAGTTACTCACCCACCCATTGTACTAGGGACTTGTCTAGGTGTGCTGGACATTTTGTCTAGAAGAATATCAAAAGCTTTGCTAAAATCCCAAACTAGCACATCTACTGGCTTTTCTTGGTCAACTAGGTGGGTGTTGGAGTTGCAAAAGTGGGAGAGGAGAGGCAGGCAGCCATGCCTCCACAAAGAAAACATCTATGTGACAATAAAATTGGTAAATTTTCTTTAGGAAGATCCATATCAGAAATGGATCAGCTTAGAAATTCTATCATAAAAGTCTGTGAGTAGAAAGAATCATTTCAAGAAGGATGTATCCTCTGCTTTAAGTAGGTGGTAGGAGCCTTTTTGCATTCCCATTGATTGTTTGATGTCATAATGGGGAGACATCTTTCAGTAATATTGTCATGTCTCTGTACTGAACCTTTAAATACATCCCCCATCCATGTTCTTTTATATACTCTATGTAATAATTCACTTTCAAATTGATGCCAATTAGGACTAAACTTCCAGCCTGGATATAGTGCTTTAAACCAGAGAAGAATGTCTTTGTGCTGCTGAAATCTAATTGTCCTTGTAGTGGGAAAATTCCTGGAAAATATTATAGAGCAGAACAATAAATTACTGTGGGGTGTACCTGGTAGCATTTTAGAACTGTAGCTTACAGAGGTGATATGTGTTTTTTGCTGAGTGCTGTCAATTTAATCATTCACTCTTTTGTACACCTTACCTTACCCAACAGTAAGCACAGTAATAGCACACAGCACCAAACAGTAAGTCAGATAGCACTTTTTGCCTTGAAGTTGTCCCACAAAAAGTGGGGGGCTGCTGCTGCTGTTTTCAATATGTAGAGTGGGACAGGTACGGAAAGATGCCATTCTGAAAGGGGAAACGAGAATGTAAGAGAAATGGGAGGAGGAGGTAAAAGTCAGGCTGGAAGAGGCATGCTCCTAGAAGTATGCTGACTAGACAGAGCACCCTGCACATGCCCAATGTAGTTCATTTCCGAGGACACAGGGAGAAGGGAAGATCTCAGGCTAGTGGCCGTATCTTTTCACCAGTACACACCATTAAGAAGAATAGATATAAGGTGTGATGCTGTTTAGTACAAGTTCCCTAAGTTGCTGCTATTATAACCTCAGATAGGCTGGATTTGCAGACCTCCATTCTCCTTATCCTCTTACCAAGAATCTGCACAGTAGGGAGAGTCTGGATTTCAAGCAACGTTGTTGACATCTGTTGATACTGTTCTCAGTTGCCGCCTTCTGTTTGCCACAGCAGTGCAGTCTTGGGCTACTGGTGTATACTAAGAACCAGTGACCTCAGCATCCAAAACTTGAGCTTATAACAAGATATACCACTTAAAACAGAGCAAATTTCTGTACAGATTTTACTTTTCCTAGGCTTCATGGAAAAAAATTCAAATGAACAAATATCAAGTAAATAATCTTGAAATTATTGTAGTACTTCTAACTCCCTGAGTAGTGCCAATAGAAACTTCCAGTATAAAATTCAGCTGAAGAATTCTGCAACACGATTTCTTTCTGAAACATAATTTCTTCTCATTTTTATTTTACTTACTTTACTTATTATTTGAACTTATGCTATAGAGTGTTAAAGTTCCCATGTTCTGTTCTAATCTTTGCAATCCACCAAAGAATTTGCTTGTGCTTTGACTGTATGGTACCCCTCACAGAATTAATTTTGTAATATTATATTTTAATGATTTGGCCAGTTTTATAACTAGGACCTTGGAGAATAATCAGAGAATATCTTTTATGCTAAAGTAGTAGCAAATATACTATAGATCTGCCAGCAACACCCTTATTAGTATAAAAATATGTGTACATATATGTCAACATGCAAACATAAATCTCAGCATCAGCACGTGTTATGGAAGAGTGATCGCTGCACTAGCACTCATGTCAGGTTGTGACATTAAAAAGCAGGAAAATGGATTCAACAGAGATTCAATTGTTTATGCTGTTGTTAAAGACGTACTATCAGCCTGATAGGTCCAGGGTTTGTGAATAGAGAGGCTTGGGAGTCCCTGCCTTTGAGGGCAGCATATGTTTTTGAGGTACTTTCTGTGTTTGTTTGGTTCTTTTTAAAGTTTGAATTGTAACAATTTTTAAATAACATATGTATTTCTCAAGGTCCGACAAGAATTAGTTGAAGAATATGAACAAGTTAAGGGCATTGTCAACACCTTAGAGAGTTTTAAAATGGACAGACCTCCAGACATCTCTGTATCCTGTCAAGATGAGCCTTTTAGAGATCCAGCTGTTTGGCCTCCTCCTGTTCCAGCTGAACACAGGTAATGAGAGGCTGAAGCAGAGTGGGTGGAATAAAGTTGGATCGCCATAACTTTATGTTCTGTTTTGAATGCTTTTGTAACATGAAAATCATATTTAATTTACCCCTTAGTCATTTGTAATAAAGAATAAATCTAATTCATTGGGAAAAAGGTATTTAAACTACAGTCAGATTTATGCTGACATTCTAGAGTCACTCCTTTATTCTGGTAGGAGTGACTAAGTGCCTGGAACTAGAGTCTGCTGCAGAGGTTATTGGGATTTTGGTGACAGTTCTCATGTGCAGGAAGAAAACTTTTCCATTTCAGTTTATTTAAGCAGGTGAATTCATTGATGGCTGAGGAGTCTGTAAAGAGTTGGAACTTAAAGATCTTGAAAGACATAGTGGTTAGAAATCACTCCTTAGCTGCAGATAGTATGACCTGTGTTTAATCCATTGGTTAGTTTAATTGCTAAACATGTTCTAGTATATATGGTATTTCTTCTCTGTAACCATATTTAAGGTAACTTCAGTTAGCTAATAGATTTCTTAAAATAGATGCTTGTGCATTTTCTGAAATCCCTATTTTTACCCTAATAGAGCTTGACACAGGTTGTTGGAAACAACAGATTCAGTTTACAGACAAGAATAACATTAATCATGCCAACATGTTTCTAACATAAGAGCAGAGAATTTTAATGTGTGCATACTCACATAAGCAAAGGAGCAAAGTAAAATGAGTGATTTTGGTTAATGGAGAGAATTACCAAGTTTATTTATAGTTTTCTGTGCTTTATGATTATCAAACAGATCTTTAATTTTCAAAAAACCCTAAGAATGTAAGTGTAAAATAATATTAATGCTGATTACTTTTGTGAGTGGTAGAAATGGCTATCGGAATTTTTGTGGTAATGTTATGTAAAGTTCAAGATGTATTTATTTATTCTTGTATCTTTCTTAGATACAATATCGTTGTATCATTTCTTAGAGGTAGCGGTCCAATAGTTCATCTGCTTTTTTAAAGCTGAAATTTAAATCTTGAGCAAATAAGAAAGGAAAATTAGCCACTGTTCTATGCTGTTAAGTTTGAAGAAAATGCATACAAAGCAAAATGTTACAGTTGTATGCAACAGTGTGTTTAAGAATGTACTATTTTTAAGCCATATTCCAGGAAAATGTTTTTGGAGTTAACAAATTTTGAGTTACTCAAAACAGGAGTTAGAACAAGAATTAATAGTGGATACTTACTAAATTTGGGTGACATTCCTGGCCATTTATTGTAGTTATGTCTTTCGAATCCTGTCCCTAGAGCAAAATGACTGGGATACCTTGTCTTAAAACCAAATTCTTTCTACTTATGCTACTGCTGTGTTCTCTTTGACATTGTGGGTGATGTACATAAATATAGGTGGTTGCAGTTCGGCTCTGTTTGCTTTTGCTTTCAAGGCAATTTTTATGTTTTGACATTTTCACCCAGGGGAATGGAGTCAGAGGTAGGAGGATTGTTTTAAAATCCTCACTCCTTTGTTTTGGGGCCTGTCAATGCTATTAGACAGCTTTTTTTTTTTTTTTTTTTTTTTTTTTTTTTTTTCCTTTTAGCAGGAAAGTCATCTGGTTGCGTAGAACTTGGGAACATGAATGTAGCCTAATATAGTCTCCTGGCTTGGAGTCAGCAGAAACTACAATTTCAAGACTTCTACTAAATTGTTTCCTCTTTTGTTACATGGGGGTTGGTTTGTTGTAAGATTGGTTAGGATTACTGATCAAATAGTGTTGTTAGTTTTTCCTTTCATAATTTTTTCTTTGGGTGTCAGACAGAACCAGAAATACATCGCTGGATTTGCATATATAGTGAGATGAGACTTAGGGACCTAGCAGCTTCAGTAATAATAGCCAAAGGAATTAATGAAATACTAGAATCCTTCCTTCTTAATGTTACTCTCTTCTTCCTTTTTTTTTTGCTGTTTTTAGCATATTTTTGTTGTGTTTGCTTGTTAGGGCTCCACCTCAGATAAAACGTCCCAACCGAGAAGGAAAGTCTTTGAGGAAGGACTCCCCAGGACTGCAGCCACGTGGGCCCGCAGGCAGAGCACATGTGGTATCCAAGGGGGAGAAGTCTGCAGGCAGCCGTGAAAGGGAATCCAGAGCTAGAGGAAGAGACGACAAGGTAAGAGGTGGGAAAGAGCTTGGCAAGGAAGCATTATGATGCAGCAGGTGGCAAAGGGAAGCACTCTTACTTTTAGTCATTTAATACAGATAATAATGAGAAGCTACAATAATCCCATGCAGAAAAACTCAGTGCTTTCATTTTTCCCCATGATCAAAGCATGTATCATAGGGATATGTATTAATAATGACACCAAATTAAGAAAAGTTCTGTCATGTTTGCTCTGTCTTGGTGTGAGTTTTTTTGATGGGGGGAAGCATAGTGTCCTGTTGCTGGGGGTTTCTCACCCTCTGGTTAGACCATGGGCTTGACTCTAATCTGTAAGTGTCATTTGGGCATAAAGTCCCTGCTCCTCCTTTTCCCCAGCTTCAGGTCTTTTATAAACATATTTATCAAAAAAGTGCAAAAGTGAGGCCAGTGCCCTTCTCTAGACTTTAAGCATTATGAATGGAATTCCACAGTCCCATTGCCTCTGCCTTACCATAGTAAAATTTAGGTGAGCCTAGAAGTCCAGGGTAGTTCTGTAATGCATTGATGCTAGGTAAAATCTGTACCACATGATTTGAAGTTACATATTTGAAAATTATATAAGGGAGATGTACTAAAAGAAAACTCTTAGCAGCTTTCGTTTTCTTTGGTTTATGAAAATGGTTTCATATTTATTATAGTGTTTAGGAAGAAGCTTCTTGGAATGGCTTTGTTTTAAAATAAAAACAATTAATTAAATTAGAGTAAGTTTGAGATTCTTTCTTCTGAAGATGCATGAAAAAGAAGCAGTGCTGAAGTGAAAGAAAAGGAGAAACAGTGATTCATTATGAAGTAGTGATGTCCAAGACAGGACTGTTTTTTGGCTGGAAAAAATGTTGGAGTCCAAATCACTGTTTCTGAGACACTTGTGTTTTTAAATTCAGCTATGGATTCAGTGCCAGGACTCTGTGGTATGAGCTATACAAGTTGAGAGTGTACTGAAGTAACATTACTTTCCTGACAGACAAAGTTACAAGACAGGCCTTCCTATGGGGGCATACAGCATTGTACAGGTCAGATGAATAAGAAAATATTTAGGCCAATTTTCTTCCAAATTAATGTGGTTAGTCCCTTTGCAACCTTTCTATTACAGGTTGCTTCTTGACAGCACAAGTGAGACATGCTTTTTCCATCATGAATTGTTTTCTGATACACAGTAAAATTATTAAGTAATCCCAGCCCTTACCACCAGCAATAAGTAGGGCCAAGCCCATTTTCAGCAGTGCCTCTGAGTGACTGTACAGATTAAGCATTTTTGAAATCTCTCTACCACAGATCAGTAAGATGTAAAATAACAAGTGTGCATCCTACAAGCTATAAAAAACTTGTGAAGATCTGGGAAATTATTTAAAGTTTTGCCAGCTATATGGGGAATTGGAGTCATGGTGTGTGACAGGTTCACCAGTTGTGCTTGTGTAAGGCAGCCTTCAAAGTCTTAGCTCTAATGAGGGTGAACTCTGCTCACCAGGCTTTCCAGCGATGAGCATTATAGGGCTTTACTATAAGGAGCCTACAACATGACTTGTATAATACTTATCTCTGGGAATAATATGATTAGCAACACTACTGCTGTGAGGTGGAGGAAGAGTCATAAAGGTGTTCCCTTTAATATGGCACATTTTGAACACTGCTCTTATCTGATTAAGTTGGTCACTAGGTGGCAGAAGTAAAATATGTCTTCTCAAAAAGTTCCAATACATGTGCTCTTGTATTCCCCTTTGTCTAGCTACTTGGTTATTTTACTTCCTTTGTCTGAAGTATGTAAGGGAAAATCACCCCACCTTACAAATTCTCATGTATTATATAATGATTCTTGTAAGGAATCCATGATTTGCCTTTGAAGAAAAGTCTGAATGAAAGAGGAAGTAGCTGGATGTGGGAAATGAAAGAAGTTAATGCAGCTTTCTATATTTTACACACAGGCTTGAAAATAAGTTTAACTTTCAGTTTTATCCTTTCTTAGTACAAGCGTTTGTTCTTCAGTTTCTGAATTTAAAGCATCAAGAAGCTTACTTTGTAGCCTGGTATGTCGAATCAAAGAGATTTGGTAACTCTTCATTTCAGTTAATAGGGCAAAACTGAAGCTTCAAATTAAGAAACCAGGTATCTTGTCTCATACTAAATGTTTCAGTTCTGTAGGTTTTGGGTTTGGGTACATGGCTAGGACTACTTAGAACATGTAATGAGCTCTCCATTTCCTAAGACGTTGGCTGTGGTATAATAGGTTTTATGCTATCCTGGCTATACTATCACAGCGTAAAGCTTTTTTTTTTTTCAGGGTATATATAGGTATAGCATGTACATTTTAGAAGTGTTTTGCCTCACTTAAGGCAAATGCCTTCTTTCACTGTTTCTCCTCCTCAGACCATAACATCTTTTCATTCTGACGGTAACCATCTTGGTATAAGGAATTTTAACCTGACTATGCCAGTAAAATGACCTTCTGTAGTGCTATATAAAACAGTGTTGAACTACAATTCACCAGATGGTGTCTATCCACTAAACCCTTATATTTACTTGTCCTTTTTTCTTAAATACTTCTTTCAAGTGCTTCTTCCTTCTTAGTTCCACTGGAAATGATTAGGCTTGTTCTCAGGGTACCCTCTGCTGGAGCATTACCAAGAGTTTTAGCTTCTGTTTAGTAGTTCAGCTTAAAGAGACAGCATGAATGCTACCTGTATGTCTTCTAGAAATGTCACAATACCATATCTAAGTACTAGAACACTTTTTTAGGAGTACTCTTTAGATTATTTTAGATTGTCAGTGGATAAGGACAGTAAATATTGTGAAGGATATGAAATAGCCAAGGGCTGCACTGCCATATCAGTGAATATTAAAATCAAAGAAGGTAGCAATTAAAAAATTAATTTTTTTTGCTTGCTTATTCTCATGTGCATCATCAGAAGTGAGATGAGGTAGTTGCATTTATGTGGAAACATAGACCTCCATGCATTGGGACTGGAAGGCTGCATAATCTCCATCTGAAAACGTTGAAAGAACTGGTAGGTGAACTTGCAGATTTACAGTAAAGTTTATTTGGTCTGCCCTTGTCTCGTGAATGGTGAGTTGTGTTGACAGTGCCTGTATTGAGAAGGGCAAAGGAAAAGTGATCCAGGCAATTGGAGTTGTTATTTTTATCTAAACAGTGTACTAAGTTTTAGAACATTTGCAGAGGAGGCAAATGAGGCTGTTGTATTGGAAGCATTGGATGACTCTGTGTTGGAGTCATGGAAATGAGATAATGTTCAGCGGTGCAGAGCAGCAGGCTGTGTAGTTGGAGACTATAACAAGAATTTCTGCTAGAAGCTGGGAGCTCAGCCATAGAGGAGAAGAAAGATTTGGATATATCAGCAGAAATTGGATCAGGCTGAACCTCCGTTTGGCACATCACCTTTTCCTGTGGTGATGGGAAGGGCTGGCTGCTGGAGCGAGGAACAGCCAGGTGCCACCTTTGGCTTTGGCAGCAAGCAGTGGACAGTGCATCTGGCAGTTGTTCGGCATTTGTGTGTAGTGGGAAGAACCTGCAGGAAAGCAAGACATCTTCAGGGCCCAGTGCTGGTCATTGCAAATAACATCAGAGTTTTCCTATGTGTTTGATCTGTCTGAGGTTGACTGTAAGGGTGTAGTATAATATTGCTATGGATACGAATGTAAACAAAATCCTAGGCCCAGTTTGTTGAGGTGTTACTAACAGAGAGAAGAGGTACCCATGACATTATAGGAGGCTCTGGTGAGACAACAGCTGGAGTATGTTGTGTACAGCCATGCTCAAGAAAGATGTGTTAATGTTGGAAGGAAGAAGAAATAAAGGGTTGCCAAAGTGAACAGGTAATTGTGTTCAGCTCATGTTCCAAAATGAGACTTATTTGGTTTAGTAAATTAAGGGAGAGCACATGCACCCGTGATGCAAGTATTTCAAGGTGGTGGACACACTGAGGAGAGATCTGCTGAAACTAATGCACAAACTTAGTACAAGAGTAGAAATAACATCAATTTTGGAAATAAGGTTTTTGTTCCAGTGGGTTAGTGCAGGGCTGATAGCTCTTCCTGATGGAAAGCCCAGCAAATTTCTAAATATGTTTAAGACAGAATTGGTTGCCTGAGATTACGTGATGGGGTAATTGCCAAGGGGTTGGATGGGAGTAGTCTTTTGCAGGTCTGTATACCTGTCTGTTGGCATACCTTGTTAGAGAGAAGCCATCACAGCAACTTTATTTAAAGCTGTTTTGGGAAAGTAATACCAGAAGAAGAGATGAGGATACGACTGAAAAAATTATGCTTACTCCTGCTGCCTGGATTCAGGTGACATTTTTTTAAAAATCATTATTTCTAGCCTGTGCTCACTTACCTGCTGACTGGGGATTGCAGATTGGACGGATTTGGGACCAGCATTAATAATCTTATTACACGTGAAAACTGCAATGACTTTAAATCTTGGTTTAATTCCGGAACTGGGAAAAAGAAAAAAAGGAACCAGTGTCACTACAATGACAGCCGAGGTGATGCTGAGAGCACTTCTCCCCGCTGGCCGCCCTTCTCCCGCCCTCCGCTGGCGAGACATGCCGCAAGGGCAGGAAAAACAGCGGTCTCTGGAGCAGCGCGTCCGCCGGGAGCGGGCAGCGGGGTGCGGGGATGGGACGCGGAGGGGCTGGGACTGGCATCGGGCCGGGGCCGGACTGGGATCGGGGCCGTGCTGCCGCCCCGCGGCTGCGCCGGGACTGCCAGCGCCTCCTGGCCCCGGGCCGGCCTTCCCCTTTTATTCCTGTTTTATTCCGCTGCCCGAGCTGCGTCACCGGCCCAGCGAAGGCGCGGGGCGCGATCTGCCGGCCGGGACCCGGGCGCGGGCTCGGGGACTTGAGATGCTGCCTCCACCCCGGTGGGCTGTGCTGCAGCCAGCGCCCTGCCTGCTCGGCTCTGTAAATCCTGCCCTAACGCGGCTCACCCGGGGGAAAAAAACCCCAAACGACCAAAACAGGCAATTGTTTTTTGATGTGCAAAAAAATTCTGCTAGGAAAACCAGTCCATTGCAGAGCAAGAGAAGTATGTAACAGACAGCAAATACCTTTAATTTCATTGTCCTGTTTTTTACCCTTTCTTTTTTTTTAATGGTTACACTTAAATTCCATTTTATCTCTCCTTAAATCTTGCAAACTCTACAGGGCTTCTCTCTCCATTTCCTTTTTACACCCGACCATTACATTTTTTACATGAGCTTTTTGTTTAAACACAACTTTGTTTCCATTGCAAAAAGCTGATCTAGGAGTACTGAACAACAACAAGAGTTCACTTGGAAGCAAGAAATAAAAATAGTGGGAAGATAAACTACTCCCTCACAGTCATCATGGGCAAACGGCAACTGGGAGGGATATAATCGCTAACCTTTTTATTTTTCCACTGCAAGGTTATTTGTGTGTCTCCAGCTGCCTCTCAGCCCTCCTTCGCCTAGGATGCTTTTGTCCAGCCAGCTGGGATTCTTTAACTTGCTGCTGATAGTGTTTAGAAGCTGAGTTAAGAGTCCTAAAGTAGCTCTCTCCTCAGCCCCCTTCGTTAAAACAGCACAGCTGCTTTTCAGGCACCCCGAACACTGCCTTGAGCTGGGATGGGAAAGCGATTATCTTTGGAACTGAGGGAGGAGGAGCATGAGCCCTAATGCTTCAAAGGGAAAATGTTACTTCACCTCCATAAGCTTAGCAGCACAGTGGAAATATTAACCAGGAACTCTGGGCCATTTGGGGCAGACACAAAGTGTGACTTGGTCACTGAATGAGCATGCTGCAGAAATTAGTGTAAGAAGTGACTTGGGAGCTTCTTTAGGGCTTTTGGAGCAGCCCTTAAGTAAAAATGACCTTTTGAAAAGCATTTTAACTGTTTATGGAGCTGGCCTGCAATTGAGAGGCAAGACATAGATAGTTTGTAGCTGAGGAAAGGAGATATTGCTGGGCAGGGTTTTAATGAAGTGAGGGGACTGAATCTGTTTTCCTCTGTCGAAGACAATGGGTGTTAAAGTTTCCATGTTCCTTTTCAGTGATGAAGAGTGATGATCATGCCAGTTTTTTAACTCTGGCAGGTAATGTGGCAAGTGCAGCATCGTCAAAATATACTTTGGATGCTCTGGTCTTCAGCTAGGAATTAACGTAGCATTAAGTCGTGCCACAGCCACCATTGTGAGGCTGTTCCTGCATTCATGCCTTCGACTGGCTGGGAAGTGTGTCAGTTGTCTGAAGAGTGGTTTAGCACCATTAAGAGAGTCTGGTTTGTGCTTTAAAACCAACAAACCTACCCACCATGATATGTAATGAGGTCTGATGGGGTTTTGTCACTATGAGCTGTATCTATGAAAGAAACATGATGCTGTTGTGGTGGTAGCAACCACAGGTGTCTGGGGACTCTTTGCAGAGCAGAGGTTGTGAACCCATTGGTTTTGCTGGCCATAGTGGTGCTGAGATAGCTGTGTTCACAGAATCACAGAATGGGGCAGGTCGAAGGGACCACAGCAGGTCATCTGGTCCAACCTCCCTTCTCAAGCAGGGTTATCCTAGTGCTAAAGCTTGATATTTTCCTGTGGCTTCTACAGAAATGAACTAGACAGTCTTGCTAGTAAAGGATATGTTGAAAGAATAATGTATTCCTCTGTATGACTTTCACTTCTAGGGAAAGAAAATATCCCAGGAATTTGGTGATGGGGAAATTCCAAAATTTGATGGAGCAGGTTATGACAAAGACCTGATCGAAGCTCTTGAAAGAGACATTGTATCAAGGAATCCAAGCATTCATTGGTATGAGGATTTTCTCGATTCAAGTGGGTTTGCTAGTATGGAAAATGAGAGAAAATAGCCATCTTTTAACTCTTACAACAGGGAGACAACATAGTCTTCTAAAGATAGGCAAAACAAGGTCTTTTACTTAAACAGTTAATTAATTTAATTAATTAATTAAGATTTTGTTGCTAATTGATAATATATGCAGTACATTCATTACAGGTACTGTTGAAATGAACATATGCTCCAGAGGTCTTTAAAGATACTGCTTTGGAGTTCCCATTATCCAAAACAATTTTTAATTAAGCAACTCTGGGTAACTTGAGTTGAAAAAAATTTTTTTCCTGTCTTCCAAAAGTAGATTCAATTTTAGGTCGCAGTACTATAGGAGTGCTCTCATGAGGCCTAAGTTGCATGCTGAAAGAGATGGTACTAAGTGAAAAGCTTTTCTATTTCTCTTGTATAAAAATAGAAGAAATATTGTTGCGTGGGAATCTTATACAAGCTTCTTCATTTTGCACAGGGATGACATAGCAGATTTGGAAGAAGCCAAGAAATTGTTAAGAGAAGCTGTTGTTCTTCCAATGTGGATGCCTGATTTTTTCAAAGGGATCAGAAGACCTTGGAAGGTGGGAATTTATTAGATGTTTTAGTAAATGGCAAGCTGTTGCTATGTGTGTCTGCTGCTGTAACTTGTGGATGCCTGTAACAGAAGGCTAAAAAGGTAAACGGGAAAGATCAAGAATTTGTTCAGTAAATTGTCTCATAATGATTTGTGTAAAATGCACTGAAAGAAACACCTGGAAATGTATGTAGCCCTTACAGTAAACAATATTTTTTTCTGTGTTTACTCAGTTATAGCTTGTTGACGTTATAATACTTTCTATATGTCGACCCGTATGTGTGAGCATGTAGGGCATATTGACTGAAGCAGAAATGCTTAATAGACAGCTCTACATAGGATTATGGTGACCAGCTGTTACCACTTCCGAGAAGAACTCAGTCCTTGGACTGTTTTGTTCCAAATGTGCCAAGTATCTCTTGATCAGACTGCAAACTACAAGGCTGGATGGTTCAAAGAAGGAAAGAAAGAAGGGGATAATCTGTTGCTTTAGCTTTGCAGTTGCATTTGCAGCTGAGCATAGTTGCTGCTGGAGAGAAAGTCAGAGGAGGAGAATGAGTTACAAATCGGGCAACAGGAAGGATATAGGACTGAACTGGTCTAGGCTGGTGGACCACAAGTGAGCTCAGTCTCCGCCTTGCTTAGAGATAAAATGGAAGAGGAGGGAGGAGGCTGCTGAGCATTTCTGTAAAGAGCAAACAAAATTAGCTTGCTTCTGATGTGAGATGGATTGACACTTGTTTGGAGAATAACTAGTCACCACTCAAGACCTTTTTGGTTACTGAGAAGGATTACTGGGGAAAAGAGACTGTTGCAAATTGTTATTCAGAGTCTGCAAGGCAGCGGCGTGTGTAGGGAATGCTATGTGTGTGAGTAGTTTCTGTGGTTTCCTATGCTGGTTCAGCAGCATTTACTAACACTTCTCCTGTCTTTTCCTGATTGGTCTGTGTGCTTCCTTGGCTTATACTTATCTCAGACTCAGTAGGAGCTGGGACATTGCTGCTTGAGGGCTGTTCATGGAGGTTTTAGTGACTTGCAGGGAGGGAACCCAAACCTAGAGTCAGTGCAAACCTAGCCCCAGGCTATAGGACCTTTGGAATTTAGAGTGCTTGTGGTCAGTACCAGTGGCCTTGAGGTTAACCTGTGGGTTAACTGGGCTATCATTTTGGGCAGAGCCTAGGTATTGTGTATTACACGTGTAGGGTGAGATTTTAGTATATTTTGAGTGGTTGAATCTCTCTCTTTTCTTCTTGACTTAGAGAAAGTTGATCCATACCCTTATTATAGACTTTGGGTGCCCCATCTGTCCACTCTTCAAAACCTTTTAGGGGAAAGAAGAGCTGCTATGCTTTTTTTTCCACCTCTTAGCATGCTTAGAGGATGTAGTGGCCACCTGTCTTTAAGGCAGGTATCTCAGCAAACTGCAGGAAATGTGAAAAGTGCCACTGACCTTGTCTTCAGGTATTGTGGCAGTGGATAAAGGAACAACAGCCTGGTCTTTTAAAGAGTTACAATCTCTATTTCTGTGTGAGATTATCTTTTCCTACTGAGCAGTGTCACCTCTGAAAACCAGGTGATTGTAGACATGGAAAAAAAATCTAAGATTATTTTCTCTCTTCAGTCTGAAATGCAAATTTATTTCTGACAAGTCCATGAAGAATCTTCACTGTTAGCCTTTTCCCTGGTGACTTGTGAAGCTGTAACTCTCATGAATTTATTTTTCACAGAGAACAGCATGCATTTTCCCTACCGTTGATCTCTGACTGTGCTAGAAGGATGAGAAGTATTGAAGTGAAGGCTGTTTCTTGCAGTAATCAGTGTAGCAGCAGGCATTTGTTGAGCCTAGGAATTCAGGACAATAATTCAGGGGAAAAAGGCAGCCAAAGCTGGTTTTGGATGTTCAGACTCTCCTGAGAACAATTCCCAAGACAGCCCTCACAGTTTGTGCGTGTATTCAGAGGACGATGCCTGTCTGAAGGAGCCAGCTGTCTTCCCTGGTTCAACACAGGTGCTGTGTAGTTGTAGCCATGGGCTTCTGAGTGTCCATGGGTTTGCTCTTTCTTTTTCTTCGAACTGTTTGGAGCCAAGAAAGCCTGGTTGCTCGCTGTGCTTCCCACTGCTCTGCTAGTGATTGTTACAACAACAAGAAGTAACCCTGCAGTGATTTCATCAAAACACTTACTCCCTGCGGTGCATTTCAGCTTCTTATTGGAATACTTTGGATTAACAGAGCCTTAGAGGAAGAATAAAGAAGTCTTTGTGTTTGTCAAGGATTTTAAATAGTGAGTAAGTGGCAGCCTCCTAGTTTGCAGAGAGAACGAGCAACTTGATCCTATGCGTTTCTGTTTGCAGCCATGCATGTCTTGTTTTGCTGAGAACTCGAGTTCTTTTATTTTTTTTTTAACCGATATTTCTATTGTCTCTATCCCCAGGGAGCTTGATTTTCCCCTGGCTTTACACTTGGTGTGGCTGCTTTGCACCTGTGTTACGCACATATGTAATGCCACCAGTATCTCGTGCAAGGTAACGCTCCCTGTAATACTTACACAGGAGGTGCAAAGCGACGGGCTTCAATTTTGGCAGTGAACAGCATGTGTAACTGAAGCCAGAATTTGACCTTCTGTAATAATGGAGGACTGAAGCAATATCCAAAAAGCGTCCTTAGTCCTCTGTACACCAGGTCCTGCAGTAAACACAGTTTGTCAAACACGTGGGTTGAGTGTGGTTTGAATTGAGGTGAAGCTTGTTTTAAAATATTAAAACACATTTGAAACTCAGAGAGAACAGTAAGTCATCTCTGACTTGCATATCATAGGCTGAGTTATTTTCACCCACTCACTAAAGGTTGTATTTGCAATATTATTATAATGTCAGTATAACTGTGCAGCATCTCAAATCTGAGTGTCTGAATGTTCACAAGGAGGAAAAGTGTCCATTTACTTTTTATGCTTGCTGCTCTGGACCTTAGGAAACCTTGGGCAGCCTGAGGAATGGCACTGGACTGTTAGCTGTATAGATGGTGTGTGAACATTCCTAACTTAATTTACTGATGAATGCATGTTGAACTTGCATTAGCTAAGTGTTAAATGGCAATAAAGGTATTAACAGTTAATGGAAAATGGAGTACAGAGAGGCTATTGCTTTTGAATAGTACATTTTTGAATAATTGCATTCCCGGTTGATTTGTTTTTATAGATCTCTTCCATGTTATTCTTTGTGCTTTTTGAAGTAAGTTTTTGTGAGGAACAGATGAAACCTAATTTGCTATATGGCTTGCATTTAACAGATATTTTATTGCTGTGGCATTTTATGTAAGTTATTAATTGCAAAGCACATTATGATGTGCAATTCTAACTCTAGCTAATTTGATTACCCTTGCAATACAGTACAATTTTAGGAAACTCTTGTTAACTTGTAATAAGGTCTTGCAGTTCAGAGGGAAAAAAAAACAACCAAGCTGCCTGAGCACAATATTTTCACTGATTTACTTAAAATCACAGTGCCCTATTCTAATGCTGTGCAGACATAGAACTGTGTGTTGTCCTTCTCAAGCACTGCTGGTTGTTGGAAAGACTACCCATAAATATGGCTGTATTTAGAAATATTATCAAGAGTGACTAACCCATCTCAGTGCTACAGTCTTAACATGGGTTCTGAGAGCACTGTGTCTAGCCAAAAACCTGCTTATGTAATGATGGGTAAATGTGCTGAGCTGCAGAGATGTGTGCTCCTTTCTCTTTCAGAGACCACAGATGGAATGACAGTCTGAGGACATGGATACCAACCTGGGACTTAACAACTGGAGTTCAGTTTTCTAGTTTAAAGCTTTCTGAATAATCACTGAAGTTCATATTAGGCTTTTGTGGGACTGAGCGATAGTCCACATGAGCCACAGTTGCTTATCTGTAAAATAGAAATAGCAGTGCAATCCAGTCATCCAACAGCATGATGAGGATGGTGTTTAATCCAGGAATTGCTAAGATGCAGTAGTATGGCCGTAGGAGTACTGAGATGGGGAGATTAAACAAGATAACAAACTGTTGTATTCAGTAAATGCTCTTGTGCATACTTAAATATAAAAATCAACCAGATTCATTGTCAGGATTTTTGGGGAAAATTTTTTTTTCTGCAGAAAAATGCTCAACTGAGAGAACACAACTTATTGCAAAAGTATTTGATTTCTGTGAAGTTTTCTTCATGAAGAGACCTTTGTTCCAGAAAAAGAATTTACTGTCTTCATCTGTCTGTGCAACTCCCTCATGAGCTGGGAAAGGCCTAAGTTCAAGTCCAGGCTCTGTCTGATTCAGAGCAAGGCTGTAAATCTCTTGTCTGCTTCCTAGGTGCCAGGTGCATCAACAATTACTGGGTTTTGTGGTTCTGACTCCAGTGAAGTGGTAAGAAGTGACAGAACATTTCCACACTGTTCTTGAAAGCGGGATTCTTGCCTTTTGTCTTCCACTGATGATGATTTTAATATTAAACAATTCAAATCCAGAACTTGGCTTAGATATTGAGATGTAGTAGTGTAGTGTACCAACAGCAAAGTTCCTCTATTTGTTTTTCATTACCTTTGATCTCACCTCTCAGGGTGTGCTGATGGTTGGTCCTCCTGGCACTGGCAAAACAATGCTAGCAAAAGCTGTTGCTACAGAATGTGGAACGACATTCTTCAATGTGTCTTCCTCTACACTGACATCTAAATACAGAGGCGAGTCTGAGAAGCTGGTCCGCCTCTTGTTTGAAATGGTATGTCCTCGATGATGTGATCTGGGGATCACTAAGGTGAGAAGGGACATCACTCTTGGTTTCCTGCCCTTCCAGTAGCATGTTGGAAGCATGGAGTTCATTGAACTGACACCCCATCAACCAATTAGGAAAACACAATCTCAGTGATTCCACAAATGGTATGTTGTTGAGGATTAAGAAGGAAGTGGTTCATCACCCATGTTGAGGATCGTGTTTTCCAGACTAAATATAGAGTTGCGACCTTGACAGAAATTCAGTACTTATTCAGTGATGGGATAAAAATCCTACAGAAAGTAGATTTGAAATTAGAAGGGATTTGGAACTGTTATTTTAGAAGCAATACATGTTTTAGTTCCCTTTCTGTTCTGAATGATGGTCAGAAGGCTCTCAGTGAAGCTAAGGGGGCAGTGGGGTATGTGAAGGACATGCCCATGTGGACCTATACTGAAGAGTCATTCACCTCTTTGGGATCCTCACTGCACTTCTGTAATACTCTCAATTAAAACCTCTTTTGAGATCAGCTGAACCCCCTTCTGTCTCTTATTCTTACCCTTCACCAGCACAAAACGTGGACATGAAAACTGCCTGTTTTGTGATCATGTTCCTTTTCCTTTTTGCAAAACTATTTGCTGAGGAAAGCCAACCAACACTGCAAGACCCCTGACCCAGAGAGTACAATTTAAGGTGTATAAACTTCAGCATATGACAGATAATTTGTAAATCAGTATCTTGAATTCTTTTCTTGTGATAGACAGGGAAGATATGTATGTAGTATGTGTAGTGGGACTGGGTTGTGGTCTGATAAGGGCCTGTGCTTGCTGCTGCAGCCTTAATGGTGATGTTTTCATTTGAACAAAGGCACGGTTTTATGCTCCAACAACAATCTTCATTGATGAGATAGATTCCATCTGCAGCCGCAGAGGCACGTCCGACGAACACGAGGCCAGTCGCAGAGTCAAGTCAGAGCTGCTTGTGCAAATGGACGGTAACAAGTCCTTACATCCAGGTTTGGGGCTGGGGTGCTGTTTCTTTACAGGTGGGAATGTAAGAACTTGAGCTATCTGGAAAACCTAGCTTAATGGATAGGGGAAAAATAAGGCAGAACTTGAGACCAGTGAATTTTTGGAGTGTTCAAAGGCAGATAACAGAGAAGGGTGTTATGCTTTTATTTTTTCTAAAATGGCTATTTTAATGGTGAATTGAAAACTCATATTAAAGAGAGACTCTAGGAGAAGCAGATAATGGAGATTTGTGCAGGTTAATGCAGGGACTTTATTTGTATTCAATTTAAACAAATTTCTTCCTTTTGCTAGAGCCTCCAACTGTGGAATCCCATAGTGAGATCTGATTTTGCTGTATTCTGTGGTGGCAGCTAATATGACCCTCTTAAGTCAGATTTAATACCTGTTTTATGCAGGTGCACACAACAGGGATGACCATCTGAGGAATACTGTATGGTGAAGAGGTTTGATAACCACCTTTATATTGCAGCTATTGTTTAACTACTATTTAAAATGTTCTCAAATGTGCATGTTCATTTTGGTAACCTCAGGGTAAGAAACTTTATGCCCCAAAGTGGTAATTTCTTTGCAGTCCTCATTTGGTAAGCTGAGTAGTGATTCCTATTTCTTCTATAACCAGGTTTGACAGAGATAGCGCTGTCAGTGGGACTAACAGGGCTACACTCACATATGGCTGTGTTATTAGTAATGACAAAGAAAACCCTCCCGTGACTCAGCAGAAGAATGAAGTGTCCTTCTCTCTGTGATAATGACGGTCTTGTGTCACCTAAGCTATGGGAAGTTTGGGAAGGAACACTAGGAAGTCTGGACAGGGACACTAGGACTATATGGAGCTGTTGCTTAGCTTTGTGGAGGCTTATACAATGTTTGTGCAGTGTTTCTCAGCAAACATCTCAATCAATAAGAGCTTTGGAGTGAAATCGTTCTGACCTTTCAGGGGTAGGTGGTGCTCTGGAAAATGATGACCCTTCCAAGATGGTTATGGTATTATCTGCTACAAATTTTCCCTGGGATATCGACGAAGCTCTCCGACGGAGACTGGAGAAGAGGATTTATATACCTTTGCCCACAGGTATGTTTGATATGACCATTTTCCTTTCAAATGGTCTTTGCAAGACAAATTTAGGATTACTGCAGGACTGATGGGTTTGTGAGGAGTCTTGATGGCTTTGTGATGAGCAGTGAAATTCAGGGGATAATCATTTGTCTGGGTTCCTTTATTTTTAAAGAGAGTGAGAGAAAGGAAAAAATACTACTTACTTGGGGGCTTAAAAGCAAAGAGCTGTGGCATTTCATTGCATGTCATTGTTGGGTTCTTATATTTTGAAAAAGCATTAGTTTTAATGAGCCTGGAATTATTTTAATGTTTAACAGTCAGTACTTGAGTGATCATCAAAGGCAGCCTTTGGACATGTTCACAAATATTGCAAATGCACTCCGTGCCCTTGCAGACAAATGCGAAGAAGTGGATCCATGAATTTTCACTTACAGGCTTAGTTCATTGCAAATCACTGCTTGCTCACCTTTATTACTGTGCTTTGAGTCACTCAGAATGCAGCAGGCTGGCTGCTTTCCTGCCCTAAGACGTCTCGGCTTGTATTGTCTTTCCTAGCTGTCATTCACGTGTCCTATTAATTTTGAGATTCCTATCACTTGAAGTTTGCATAGCTTCTTTTCTTCTTGGTACAGTGAATGCCTCATCTCCCTGCATGAGCACTCAAGATAACAAGATGCCTGTTGGTAGTGACAGTGGTTCTGATTGAGTTTTGCAGGTCTAAGGACACTTAATAGTTGTAGAGCTTGTCTTTGCAGCTTACAGGCAGTAAGAGCTCCTAACAGGATGCCTGTCTTTATGACCAATAAGTTTAAAATCCTGTCAGCTCTTTCTCTTGTTTCTAATTAAACCAGATTGTTTTTTGACACAGTGTATCATACCCTGGACAACATAGGAGATGTGATCTGGTTTTATTTCCAATCTTAGGTTCTGTTGCATTCTATTCTGTAAATAAGAATGTTGTGCTGTTCTGGGCAAGTCTGAATGATGCATTTATAACTGTGCTGTGTGATTTGACATGTTCAGGCATTTTAATTGAAAAAGTGATATGTCATAGATACACCTGTATATTGTGGAATTTTATGCAAGTATATATTCTGTAGTGTTTCATTATCACAATACTGCAAAGACTTGCTTAGCCCCATAGCAACGACTAGAAGAATGTTCTCTGATGCAGATATGCCATATCTATATTGTGCTTTGTAAATAATAAATCCCCATTTTATAGTTAATGTCAGTTGTATGTGATGGATAACTCTATGCTCTGGACAGTTCTGCAAAGCACACAAACCCAGCAGCTTTAGACAAGGTTTCTGTTTTCTTTTATATTCCTCCCTCGCCCCAAAATAAACAAAAAAATAATTAGGGACATCAATAAATAAAACATAATGTCTTTTATTGGACATTTCCTTAAGACTTTTAGCCTTTCCTAATGCTACTTCTTCTGTTGCGGTTGTCCTTTTTTTCTAGGTCATAAAAATTGGTCACTTGGGGAATAAAGATGCTGAGCTAGCGTATTTTTTCTGTACAGTAAAAGCCAGGAAACCATTCGTCCTCTTCTTTTACCACCCTTGTGCAGAGTAACACTGAGGCCTAAGCTGTCAAATGTGAATTCCCTCTTATAAGCTTAGGCTGCTTAACATATGTACCCAAATGCACATATGCACATGCCTTCTGCAAGAAAAATGGTTAATTGGCTGCATAAATGCTTATTTACAGAGCTGGTTATCACTTTCTGCACACTGTGTCCGGGTGTGAAAGTGGGATACCAGGATATTTGTATTGTAAATATATGAATATATGTTTACCGTATTAATGTATCTGTCTTCTGTTGACCTTCAGCAGCTTTCTTGGGTCCCAACAGAGTAAAGTGCTTAAACATATTCTTAAAGTTCAGCTTATTGTTAAGGAGTTTTGCTGTCTGAAGCTCTGTTAATAGAATCATTGTGGTTCTAATGAAACTGGGTGAATAATATGCAATTAAACCCTTGAACAGCAAGTGAATTCAAAGGGATGTGAGAAGAAGCAGACATTTGTAGGATTGTTCTTTTGTGCCTCTGGGTAGTATGTAACCAAGTGCTTTATCACCTGAGACATAACAGACATTTTTAATGACATATGACTTTGACAAATATCTCTAGACTATGCTGTTTTAATATACTTTACTGTATTTGACTATACACTTTACTATGTCTTGTTCTCTCTCTTTTCTTTTCTTACATTGAACTCTTTTGTTTGTACTTTTCACTGAAAAAATTGTGTTTATGTCTTTTTTTAATGTAACTCTTGCAAGTTTTCAAACAAGTATTTTTATGTTCTAGCAAAAGGCAGAGCAGAACTACTTAAGATTAATCTTCGGGAAGTAGAACTGGATCCTGATATCAGCCTTGAAGAAATTGCTGAGAAAATTGAAGGCTATTCTGGTGCTGACATCACTAATGTTTGCAGGTATCTCATTCCCCTTAATTTGTAACTAAAACTGCATAGAAAGTCATCATTTGCATTGTATGATAAAAGGCAATACTCGCTACAACTGAAGCCATGCTAACAGTGTCTGGTTTTGAGACCCAAATCTTTTTACTGGAACCATGAATTACTGTCACGTCGAGTCCGTGAAATGTGGTTTTCTTGGATCTGAAGAGAAAAAAATTATCTGAGCAAATCCCATGTTACTGTTGGCTGCATTTACTGTAGTTGTCTGCATTTGTTAATGTAGTGCAAAACAGGTTTGGATTTTTATTTTTTTTAAATCCCATTGGTTTAAGAGCTGGAATTTTGTAAAGTAAAAAGCTCCTTTCACAGAATACTTCTCTGGGGCTGTATGTTTGGACAGCCATCAGTGCAGCATGGTCTTGGTGACTGCCTGAATCTTCTAGGTGTAAGGGTGATACAGATAGTTTATAGCATTAGTATTTAATCCTGTTCCCACAATTTATTTAATTTTTGACAAATGAGTCTTTTCTGTTGAAGGATAGATATTTCAAAAAAATTATCAGAAGGAAGTCTATGTCCCTTAAGAGCCCTCTCAAGAAAAACTAATCCAGTAACACCATGGCTCGGGAATTTTTTTTTTCTTCCCCTGCTGCTTTTCTGAAAATGTGAAATCACTCCCTGGTTTTGAAAACTTGGTGTGTGTCACGTAGTAATGAAATTACCTTTTCTCCCTAAGGCCTGTGTTATCCCTTGCTGGGAAAAACCTGGGGAAAGAGAAAATGTAATTTCAGACTGCCTGTGGGCCGTGGTGTGAGAAAATGAGCAGTGTTCTCCATGCCAGTGAGCCGCACTGGCAGCATCCGAGCTGGGGAGGAGTCGCAGAGCAAGCAGAGCACAAGAAGCCACAGACACCACCAGCCTCAGCACTGCAAGGGCAGGTGATGCTGTGTCTGATGCCTCCTGCTCCACCCTTCACAGATTCAGGTGCTATGGATGAGCAGGCAACCGAACTGGGCTGCACTCTGAACACTTGCTGACTGCAGGGAGAAGGTTGAAATCTGAAAGGAATGGGGTGTAAAAATTCAGACTACTTTAAAAAAAAAGTCTTTGAGTGCCGTTTGTCTCCCACCCTGCCCTTTCCTGCTCTGAAGCTGTAAAATTTCATCTCTATGAATCATTGTAAGAGGTTTTCAGTTTTATAGTTTTAATTATCTCTGCACATTTACCATATGGTTAAATGGGTTTTGGTGCCAATGCATTCTTTATGTTGAATTAATGTAGTGATCTGGGAACATGGAAGCTAAGAAAGATGTGAACCACATCTTCTGTGGTAAATAGATGCTGTCTTAAGTGTTCCTGCCAGTGGTTTCTAGCAAGAGAATACAATCAAAATTCATAGGCTTACAGCACATGCTGCTAGCAATTAGCTCCCATACATTGTCCTGTATTTCCAGGGATGCATCTTTAATGGCAATGAGACGACGTATTAATGGCTTGACTCCAGAAGAGATTCGTGCACTTTCTAAAGAGGAGCTTCAGATGCCGGTAACCAAGGGGGACTTTGAGCTGGCTCTGAAGAAAATCTCCAAATCTGTTTCTGCTGCAGACCTGGAGAAGTATGAGAAATGGATGGCGGAGTTTGGATCTGCTTAATCTCAGTGACAGTTTTCCTTTGCTGGAGTTTTATGGCTTTTGTTGTTCTCACTAAATGAGTTAGAAATCTTTTTAAAGGTTTAATAAAAGGTCTGCCTCTGCCCTCATCCCACCCCCTTCTGGTGACAGGATCTTTTAAACTATTTGCCTTTAAAGGGAATGAATACAATAATGAGCTGATATTGTAAAATACATTTTATCTCTAAAATAGTTAAATAAGACAAACAGGAAGGGAAAAATTATACTTGTGAGGGTAATCTTTTGATTTTTCAAATGAGGATTAGTGTTACTTAACTTCCTCATAGTCATCTTTCATGGCGGGAATCAATAAATCACCTGGGGGATGTGACTCCAGACAAACAAAAAAGGGCTCGCTGTACCCCCTGCTCTTAAGTGCTACATTGTTGTTGAGCTGCTTCTGCCTCCCTTGAATGTGGCATCCAAGTTACTATTCTCTCCTTCTGTGCTTGGATATTCAGAGCAAAGCCTGTGGATTAATTGGTATTACACAGAGGAAATGAGGATAAGTTTTCCATCAAGACATGGGCTTGACTCTCCTCTGTTGTACACCCGTTTGGAACTGATGTCACTTCAAACTGTATTGGTTTTACCTGTGATGACTTCTGGTGGAAATAAGAGGAAAAGAAAAAGGCATTGATTGCTCTCAGTCCGGTTTATACTTGATCTCTGAACACAGTTTGAACCTGTTTGACCAGTAGACACTTTGAAGTTTGACCAGTGGGCACTTTGACTTAGGTTATAACTTGCACTTCCATGCTTGTATATTATTCTATGCTTTGTCTGTGTTATCTAAATGTGAATGTTATTATTATTATTTTAATACTAAGAGTTTAATACAGTAAAGACACTAATTTCAAGGCTGTATTTAAAACTCGACTATCCTTAAAACACGTGGCTGTGAATTTCCACTTCTGATTAGGTATGAACTCTTTCCTACCTTTACCAGGCAATGGAACTTTTACCTATTTATGTTGTAGAACTGTTCATGCTTTAATTTTTTTAATGAAGATTTTTAAAAAATGTATAAATATTACTGATCTAGTAATATTTAGAAAATAATCTGTACGATCTCATTTATGTTTTTGTCTGTTTTTTCCCTTCCCTCATACAAGTGCAGGGATTAGAAGAGTTGAGTTATAAATTCTAGCATGAGAAATTGTCTCTAGAGTCCTGTTACACTGACTTATAAGAGCTTTTCACAGACTCAGACTGCAAGTCTGACATATGAAGGTTTCCTGTGGTAGGAATGTGAAGGAGTGGTCAAACGACCAAATTTACGGAGAAATATGCAAGCTCTCAAATTTTTGGTGAATTTGTGAGGTAGGCCTGAAGCATCTTGGTGGATGTGAATTGCTGTGCAGTTTGGTAGGTATTCTGCCCTTCAGCTCTCTGCTGAGACTCCTAGTGGCATAGACAGATGTGACAAACTGGAGTAAGAAACAGATAGCACCTCCTCTTGAATGGGAGTATATCTTTATTTGCGCCTTTTTGCTAGTTCTTGGAAGTTCCCAATAATATCATATACTCAGCACACTGGTCTCTTGGGTGATGACATGTAAACCACTAAGGCAAAAGCCTTAGATTAAATACTTACCTATTTTGCTCAGGGAAGTGGTGGAATCACCATCCCTGGAAGTGTTTAAAAAACCTGTAGATGTGGCACTTGGGGACATGGTTTAGTGGTGAGCACGTCAGTGCTGGGTTAACGGTTGGACTCAATGATCTTAAAGGTCTTTTCCAACCTTTATGATTCTATGATTCCTCCCAAGGAATAACTGGACCTTTATAGAGAGAAAGCTTTGAAAGCATTGATGTTGTCTGTCATTTCTTCCTTACTGAAGCTGTAGACTGAAGCAATTACTCTTTGTTTGTTTGTTTTACTGCAGTAGAAATTAGTAAAGCTACACAAATCTTCTGTGGCCAAAGCCAGATTAGCACTACAGGGTCTCTCACTAGAGAGGCCATTGCTGCCCAAGGAGTTTAGTCCACACAATCAAGATGTGGAAGGGAATAGACATGAATGCCAGTAACCAACCCTATTCAGCTGCCCAGGAGCAGTGCTGGGATTCAGCAGTTGCTGCTTAGTAGGGTCTAAATACAGGTTTGCTCAGTTTCCCATTGCAAGCAGCAGTGACCTTCCTACTGATGAAAGCACAGCCCCTGGGAAAAATGTTGGTCTTTAGCTTTTTGATGAACCTTCTACCTTAAGGCATTAAACTTCCCTCTTGGCTGTTAAGCAAAATTCACTGTACTGGGCATTCCCTTTAGTAGGAATTATTCAGGTGCTGCAGTCTTTTTCTCTAAAGGTCTTGGTTTCTACCCCAGATATGTTTTTACTTAACGGGTCCATTCATCTTTTAGAGCTGCTGAACAGAAAATTGAAATTTTTCAGGCAGTAGATGTTTATGATGGTTGTGCTCTAGCATTACACCTATTACTTGGGTCCTGCTAGATCAGGCACCCCTGAAGGCCAAGACCATCCTTTCTCTGCCAAACCTTTCAGGATAGGGATCTGGCCCTGTGTGCTGACCCTTACATCTTTACCAAGTCGTGCTGGCACACTCACCTAGGTGGGCTTGGAGACTGGGTTATTAACTCGAGGGGAACCAGCAGTGGGGTACAGCAAGGAGCAACTTGAGGAAGAAGGGCAGTCAGTGGTGGCAGCAGCTCAAGGCCCAGAGGATGAGTCTGTGATTCAGTGTAAGTCCAGTTCATGTTCCATTGGTGGAGACCCTTGTGTAAGACTGTTGGATTCCTCAGAGAGCAATGTGTGAGCATATCACAGCCTGCTGCGACAAGGTGTTTGATCTGCATCTGTGTGGGGAGATCATGCGCACACATGTGGATGCATATATATATATATATACACACAGTGAGTGGTGCTTCAGTAATTGTACCTAAATTACATTAAAAAAATGTTTTACAGCTGTATTTACATGTTTTCTAAACACCTGTGAAGGCCCTCTTGGGTGGCACTGTTAATTTTTGTACAATATGCAGTCTGCTTGTATGAAGTAATAAATGTACGTACAGAGTCTGTCTGTCTTACTTGAGTGGGGCTACGAGTGCTTTGGTGATAACTGTTTCCAAATTCTGCCATACAATGCAGATCTCTTCAGCATGTCATGGTGCTGTTGGACTCACTGAAGTCCTGGATGGAGAGCAGTTAAAGCAGAGTCTGGGTTTTTTGGATAATGCTGGCAGCAATGCTTTCTCTCTTAAATTGGCCTTTTGTTGCCACAAATTTTAAAATGGAGAATGCTCCAATGCCCAGCACATGCAAGCAGGGTGGGGGAGAGGGGAGCAGAGGCCCCAACAGATGTTCAATGTTAGCACCTGATTCAGACCTCCCAGAGCCAGGCAGGCTTTTTTACAACTTGCCCCTGGGCTGGAAGTATAATCAGTCTCCAGAGAAGCTGTATCATCAGCTGCCTGCTAACCAGGAGAGTTTCAAGACCAAAACTTCTACTAGGAAGAAGCTTTCAAACTTGGAAAGAGATCCCGCATCTCCTAGGACTGAGTTGGTTATTTGAATTTTCTCACTAACTTCCTTATGAAAGAATGTGTAGTTTCCAGTGTTTCATAATGCCTCAAACATGAAAGAGCGAGCAAGGGAAATGCTGATCAGGGGATTTCAGGAGAGGTTAAATCTTTGCATAGAAAGTTCAGCTCACCCCAGTTTAAAAGAGACTGAAATAGCAAAGGTGCACTGACTTGTTCTGATCGCGGAAAAGATGAAAGAGCTTGTGTGTTGTAAAGAAGTCCTTCATCAAATGAGCGAAGACTTCACAATACAATCCAGGCACGTGAAGGTGGAAGCAGCAGAAAAAATAGTTAATTATTTTTATTCTGTTGTCGGAAAAAGCCACCCTGAGTCAGATTGGAGATTGAGATTGTTTTCAGATCTGTAGTGACAGATAAGTACCTGACGAACTTACAGGTGACACTGTGCTGCCGGGGAGAAAGCAGGGAGCCTGAGAGTGCCAGAGCAGTGAGTGTCAGCACCATGGTGGCAGCAGAGCCTACTCTGTGTGAGCTGCCCACCCAGCAGCGCTGTAGGTGCAGAGTGGAACCAAGCCAGCTCAGTAGCCCTCTGATAGAATAAAGCAGACTGTATAAAGCCACCCATGCTGGTGATAGCAAAGGCAGAGAGATGCTGCATTTCAGAGAAGGTGGCACACATTTTCTTTGCCTGTTCACATTAAGTGTTTCATGAGAGCACTGTGTGAATGCTTGGACGTGGCTGTGGATGCCTCAGTCACCTATGTTCAAAGCCTAGCTGCCATACAAGCCAACTGAGCTGCAGCAGCAAGTGATGCTCATGTATCCCACAGTACAGGGACGTGGGACCCTCTCCGCCTTCTAAGCCAGTCTGGTTTTGTACTCTGCTTGTGACCTGTTCTTGTGACCCACTTACCTCATACACGGCAGCTCAGTACCTCTAACAGAGGAGCTTCTTTTGTGCAGTACAGAACTGTCTTTTGATCAGCTAAAGCACCGTGCTTCTGCACGTCTGCACCTAGATGTCTTGGAAAGATTCAGTCAATTTTCCTCTTCTTTAGAAAGCCCCAACTAGCGCTAAAAGCAGGTGGGATGAAATGTCTTGGCTAGGCTGGTTTCCCAATGCAAGAAAACTTACCTCGACAGACAAGGAGGTGTCACATGGAAAGTTCTGCTTTTGTTACGAAGTGGCAAAGTATGGGTACATTCCCATTCCTACTGCACAGGCAGACTTAGGGTTGTGTTGTGTCCAAGCTCTGTTTTCTGTCTTTTGTGTATTTGTGATTTCTTTATTGTAGTAGAAACATTTTTCTCTGAGTTAGGGGGAAACCGTGGAGTAATTTGTTCCATATCTGGGTTGGGATTTTGGAGATCCCATGACTGGGTTGGTACCTGAAGATGCTGGATCCCATGATTGGGTTGGTACTTGAAGATGCTGGGCCCATTCCCAGCATGCTTACTTTTGGAGAAAAGCATCATGCATTCTGCCTGACTGTCTGGCTGTACAGTAAGCAGTGTAGTTTTGTGAAAAGTCACTTAAATATAATATTTAGAATATTCATTTGACAAAGAGAGAATTTCTTACTGCCAGTTTGCAACTGTGTTGCTCTCATTTATAAGCAGCCCTTGCGTATGTTGTTCAACTGATGTAAAAGAAACTGTCTTGGAAGTAAGAGTTTTTTGAACTTGACTTTGGAGGGAAAGAAAGGTAGGAAAATATTTGCCTAGAGGAAGATACCAGAGTACCCAAGACACTGAGAGCTGAAATTTCTTCTTTTTGTGGCTTTCCTTTTTGTCTAGCAATTGCACTGCTGGGTTGCGCTTTCTGGTTCCAATTTGTTTTGAAATAATTACCATTGTTTATCCATCTCTCAGACAGCCTTTGCAGATGATTCAGTTCCACAGAGCCCTCTTTTGCTTAGCGGTTGGTATTCATGCACAGCATGTTGTGTGACATCTAATTGAATGGGCTGATGGCATGAGATCTTCCTTGTGAAGTAAAGGTCACCCAAATGGTGAAGGTGAGAGGAACTGCACTGAATACCAATTGGACTTGCAGTAACAGAATTCATAGCAACTCTACACAGAGCTTATAAATACAACCAAGAAGAAAAAGGGAGTAACCTTAGGGAGGTGCTGACAACATTGCAATGTGCATGTTGATAGAAATGGGGGTCTTTGCATCTTCTGTGTAAGAGGGTGGAAGTGGCTTGCTGAACAAAGGAAGCCAACTGCAGGCACTGCCAACAGGTTTCATTACCCAGCCTTGCTGCTTAAAAACATCGTAATGTGCAAGACTGGTTTGTTACTGCTGCTCCAAAAGCTGCCTTTTGGAGGATCAATTTGGACTTTGTAATAGCTTGCTGCCTAAGTTGAAATGTCTTCAAACTTTGGCATGTGCTGGGACTGGAGCGTGTTTGGAGGGCTAGAAGAATAAGGGAATGTTAATAGTGGTGTGTTTATGTAGGGTCCTGGGGCTTTGTTGTGGTGGGTACCAATTGGGTGTGCAAGAAGAGATGCTGCAAATGCTTATGGGGAGTGAGATGGTAGAAAGATGAGGAGAGAGGTGGAAGGTTGTGGAGTCAGTGGAGGAGACAAAACTGGTCCTCTGACTCCCAGTTCCTGACCCTAAAGCAGACTAGTAGTTTTCAGTTGCTTTTAATTTGCAGCCCTCTAGTATTTGTTTGTTCTGAGGCTGAAGATCCTAGTATTGTGAATTAAACAGAGCAACTTTGTTTTCCTTAAATACCCTCTGCAGACCCTTAATAGGTGCTCCTTTGGGCTGCAGATGGTGGTTTGAAAAGCACTGGCCCATGTCATCCTAAGCTTGCCTGAATTTGTTATTGAAGGGAGTCTACAATGGATGCTGTTGATTTTATTTTCTTATTGTTAGTTTGCTCAGAAAGATGAAGCTCAGTGGATGTGAGGTGCTTCTGGGGAGTTTATTTTTTTCTGTGCAGATTGGCGTTTCATCAGCATATGGCACAGCCATTTAAAATAAATATTTGACTTTCCTTGATTTATGCTTGTGTAGAAAGGTCCCTGCGTATGTATATCTATCCCTCTGTTGTATCTAATTAGACATTTCTACCGTGGTGCTGGGGGACCAGGCTCCTTCCCCCTCACCGAGGAGCCAAGAGCTGCGATTCATGTGCTCCTGCCCTTGATGGATCCACATGCCTCAGCTCTGGGGAAGCGAGGCAGGCAGTTGGCCCCTTCCCTGGTGGGGCTGCCATGCTGGCGGCACTGCTGGGTCAGCCTCCCTCTCTTGACCATGGGAATTTAAATTAATTTAAACTGGGAACTGCCCAGCTTGAGCAAATGCTTGGCACCCTGTCCAGGATCACCTCCTTCACCTGCCAAGGCAGCTGTGCTTTTGCAAAACACAGCCCTGAGTAAAGAGTGCGGGAGCAAAAAACAGTGGCTGGAGAGGGGAAGGGGGGTACTAAGGGATTCTGGGCTGAGGCCCTGTGTGCTCACCCATGCCAGGCAAGGGAAATCAGTGGTGTAGAGAGGGGACAGCACTTCCCCAGGCATGCAGTATGGATATTTTAACACAAAGGATTTTCATTTGAAAATGAAAAGCTAATCAGTTTTAAGATGGAGCAGAGCCTGCTGCAGCCAGTGACCCAGGAGGCCTTTTCCAACTCTGTGGCATATCCAGATGTTTTGTGTTCTCACAGATGATTTGGCACTTGTTTCCAATCTAAGTAAGTTCACCCTTGATTTGTATCCATCTGATCTTGTGCTAATGTCATTGTCTAACAAATATTTCCTACTCTGTGATATTTCTCCTACATCCCTGAATAGAATCACCATATAAAGCAACACCTTCTGCTTTGTTGTATTGTATGAGCTCCTTCAGTCTCTTTAGTAAGCCAGATCCTCATCAGCACCCTTTCTTTACGACTGAGCCTGTTGTTTATTTAACACAGATCACCAGAGGTGTCCATGGTGGGTCCATAAGCTGCATGCAGCAAGCTACCCAGTAAGGCAAAGAAAAAAGAAATTGCTGTCTGTCATGGTGTGTTACTATAATCAAGCAAATACACCGAGTATTTGGTTTTATGACCTACAGGAGGGCAGGAGACTTTGTTATATTATTATTGCACAGCAAGTGGGGTTTTGATAACTGGTAGGCAGTGGGATACACAGGGAAGTGGGGAAAGATGCAGGAGTTCTCCAGGGGTGGTGAGAGACAAAATTTGAGTATTTTGTTTGCAGGAGGTACAGCCAGGTGCACCCACACAGTTTGAGATCACATCGTTTCTGGGGATGTTTGGACACTGCCCAGACAAAAGGGAAGAAAAGATCTGGGACCAGCAAATACACTCCAGGCCACCAGTAACCAGGGATGAATGTGAGTGTGGAGTGACAGGATGGATTGCAGTGACCTTCTGCCAGTCTCCCTGCCTCTGCCTTTCTCCTGAGTGTGCACAGAGCCCAGGCACTCACACTCAGATCCCCACTGCTGGGAGTACCCAGTCACTCTGTGCATGACCCTGCTGGTAC